TGGAACATTTATTATCAGCATCTCAGAGCTTTCACGTATTGTTTGAGTGGATAATATATTTGATTTCAATAAATAATAAAGCAATAATCCTGTCACTCATCAGGGCCTTTTCGCTCATGATATATTAAAAGGAACCAGCAGCAAAAGTAAATTAAACCTGCATAAAACATGAAGAGGAGGTGAGACACATACCGGCCTGTTTGGTTTTGGTCTGAATCATAAACTGGTCTAAAAGCTTTTTTTTTTTTTTTTTTCATCTGCATCAGTTATAGACTGCACTGCCATTTCTTTAAATTCTACATATAAACCCGACAGCCATGATGTCACATACGTCACAAACTGACAAAGAACCGGTCCTGTGGGTTCTTTCCATGCCTGGGTGGTTCCGCTCCTGTTTGCCAAATCTGGGCCACAAGTAAGCCATAACAATACCGCACGTCAACCAATGGTGGCCCGGATTTCATATCCAGATTACACCAGAAAGCACTGCACGCTTTCCAGAGAGGCCCACGTCGACCCCAGCGTCATCCAGACCGAGTTTGGCAGGTCACCATTTTGGGGTTTTCGAGGACCTAAAACCAAAGAACTTCTGAAACGCCTCTGGCTTTGTTTTAACCCAGTGAAGCCGACTCCTCTGGTCTGCAAGTCAAATCTGTTGATGTATTCTGGCACAAGGAAATCATTCAATCACCAATCAACAGAAAGTAATTCCCCCTATACACCAGAATAACCCCTGAAAGAAATAAAAAAAACCTAAAAACAAAATTATATTTATATCAAACTCAGTAAAGAGAAAAAACCCACCCATCCATTATCCAGGGTTATTGAGGGGCTGCTTTATCCAGTATTGAGCCCAATGAGACTTCAGCTCATGGAACAGGGGAGACTGGGATGGAACCATTTACCCTTTGGATGCCAATGGATGACCATTTCTACTTCCTGTGCCGGAGCATCGCTGTTGACAGCAGTGTGCACCCTGGACGGGTTAACAAAGAAATAACTTTACTTCCATCTTGTTTTTTTCTGCTGCTTCCTGATTTGTGATCTAATTCCCATGTTCCCTGTGGTGGAAACAGGCGAGCTGCAACTTCAGATCCATGACTGGACTCAAACTAGTTAATGTCACATGCAAATCCAAAACCTCCACTCTTTTTATTCTTTATGTTGCAGTTTATTTTGAAGGCCTATAACACTGAGCAAAGGCAAGATATCCATTCTTCGTCTAAAGTAAAAAAAAACAAAATGGGTGTGAGAATAGTTTTCTGTCGGCCTTTATCCTTCATCCTCTGTTTGCTGGAGACAAAACCCCTCTGTGTCAGTAATCAGCGTGTAATTGGGTGAAGTCGAGCAGAAACTCTGACTGGAGAAGACTAATTAACTGGTAAATCTTACAAAGGTCAACAGTGTGTTGGCCAAGGATGAGGAGAGTAGCCACCATATGGCTGAAGATGCCCAGAAGAAGTGTGTCTTCACTGCTCTTTTAATCTTTTGAGCTAATTGTGTTTCTTCCCCCCTCAGCCTCCCGTCGACCGCGGCCGATGCTGCAGACAAAATGTGCTCAAACTCTAATCTACTTAACTGCTTTACACTTTGTTTTTTCCAAATATGGTCGGGCCTTGTTATTGTGGATCTGAAACTCGCTGACGTTAATTTAATTTGGTTCTTTTTGTTGTTTATCAGAGATGAAACAGTTGGAGCCAGATGAACAGTCAGGACAGATGTTTTAATTTCTTTAGACAGATTATACAGATGTAGATTAATACAAGATCATTCGTTTGTTTGATTATTAAAACTAACCCTGAATGTATGAAAAAGTTCAATTAAAGGTGCAATATTTTCTATTTTCTCATCACGATAAAGTTTAAAAACTGACGAGTCCAGAAGGTGAGAAGTTTCTGCGACTCCACAGGTTGCTTCTATACAAGTCTCTGAGGAAATGACTCTACTGTTCACTTCATTTATAACATTTTCCTCTGGAGTTTATGTCTCAGTCTCTAGTTTCACGTCTTCATCAATGCAGCTGAGGTTAATTTTGTAAATTATGATCTGTCTTCTGGTTTCAGAAAACCAAGATGGCGCAGGAAAGAAGTCTTTATCCACAGTGAGACAGGTTTGGTTGTCTCTTGCCTGTCCGTCTTATGTGTCTGGTGACAATCAGTTTTCCTCTTGAGGTCTTGTATCATGTTGTATCACATCATATTGTTTCACATTGTATCGTATTATATTGTATCATATCGTGTGATATCAAATAATAGCAATATCACACTTGACACACTTTGATTTAAGAAATACTGATGTTCAAATACCCGCTACTGTCCCCCAACCAAAAGAACTATATCATGGTAAATTGACTAGTCAGTATATGAACTCATTATATTTCCTCTTTGTTTTGTGTTATGTTAAAACCAGCCCATAATTAATGAGTCTTTAAACGAGCCTGTTACTGTATGAGGTCATTAAAAAAACCCAAATACCTTCAATTCAAACAAAGGAACGTGACCTCTGTGTCCTCGACCGTGTGCTGTGTTCCTGTAATCACCAACTGTACAGATCTACTGACCTTTTCTGTCTGTGGGCCCTTTGTTTCTGCTCCACAGATGCTTTCAGCAACGACCACCACCATGTACCTGCCCAGAACCCAGAGGGGATTACAGGATAGTGACGAGCTGGTGGAGCACATGGAGACATATTCTTCTGTCATTGTTGAATTTGTCTCTTTCATGAGGCCAGAACACGTCAGATGGATGCAAGTGTTCACATGTCTTAGATCAGTGATTAGTGCAGTGACTGACAAACACAGAGCAAACTGTAAACCACGCAGAGTCAGTGCAGATGCCGGCGCGCAGATTGTCCCAAACAACAGTTCATTCTCTTTAACCACTCAACTGTGCCAAGAAACAAATGATGAAAAGTTGCACGAGGGCGTCAGACCATCAGAGGATGATCGTCATTAGAAACAGAAGCGTTGGTGGACACCTGCGTTTAAATTTCAGAACGGGAGCTTTTCTGGTTTCACTCTTTTCACAATCATGACAGGAAAGATTATTTTTAATGGCTTGTTTGTTTTAATCTCAGCAATGATGTGCTGTGCTTTTCATTTAGCCCCAAATCATCTGAGGTTTTAGTGAAAAGGTCCATTTTATTTAAATGTGATTACCTGCATGTTTCCCCGACTGTTTTTAGTGCTGCTCCTGTTTGCTGAATCTAAAACTGCTCCTTCTCTACAGTAAATATCACATGCAGGACGTCTCCAGCTTCTCAATAATAGACGTTAAACATGTCATGAAGGCTCTAAATTGATGGCAGCCAAAACATCAGCCATTCAAAACTCTATTATTCCCTCTGTGAGAAGAAGGAAGCGGATGATTTCTAGTTTGTCGAGGAGAAAAAAGAGCAAAATAGGAGTTAATAGGCAGCTCCTCTGCAAACACTGGGAGTCATTATGAATGGGAGGCAATCATACAGATCAAATATACAGACGGGGGAAATGGAGCTGGAATTAGGAGGCAAAAGGGAGCGAGAGGAGGGAAAATACAAATTGAAGAGGAGGGTAAATATAATAATATGCTCCTCGTGTAATCATTCCTTTAAATGCAGATACCGAAGAGGAGTGTTGACGGACGGACGCCCTCGTGGACAGAGGAGACGCAGGGACACGGAGCAGGATGGGAACTGGTCTAAAGTTACAGAACTTCAGGAGTCATCACTGCTGCAGCTTTTTCTTTTTCCACGACTCTTTGTTTAGTTCGCAGACCCCTGGTCCGAGCTGCACCAATGTTCCGGACCAATGTGACTGATTGATCCAGTAGATGAACAGTAAAGATTAAGAGGATGACAAATAAGCGTGCTGCTTACACAGCGCTTGAGGCTAATCCTCCCCCTCCACCCCCTGGACTCCCTTTTGAGGAGCTGCCACCGAGGAGCACCCACAGACAGAGACCGACCCCGGCGGCCAGAGGGAAGACACGCAACCTATTGACGTGCAGCAAGCGTCAGCCCGAGCTCATGGCAGGACCCCAGCCCATCTGCATCCCCACAGCAGAGCCTGCAACACAGTAGAGCCTCAACCTGCCATCTGTCCACTGGGGACCTCTGGACAACCTGCAGATACACAACTTTTTGTGTAGTGCTTCTGAAAGGAACTTGAACTTTTTGTGCTGGACGTTGCATCAAGAGGACACAAAGTTTCCCATCTACGGTCGTCATCAGTGGAGGAGACGATTTCCAGTGAGAGATGATGGAGGATCACCTGTCGAAGATCCCCATGATGCCGTCTTCCTCTCCCTCCGACTCGTCTGCCAGCGGCGGGAGCGATGACAGCAGAGGAGGTAAGAGCTCCGCACGTCCACACACAGCAACAGGTGACGCCTCAAAGATGGGAAAAGAGTTTGAACTTGGAAAAAAGATGCAAGAGAAAATGTTTTATGAAGCTTTTTGCGTCCAATGTCTTAATTTTTCTGTTTTGATATCAGATGTCTCAGATCACAAAATGGTTTTAGGCTTTAATATTTAACTCAAATAAAAAAAACATTTTGTTGTTTTTATCAAATTAAATCAAATAAACACACAAACTACATTCCTCAAATATAAATATGCTTAATTAAAGCAGAAAAATGTCCAAATGAATATTTGTTATGTAACTGTGAGCAGTTCATTTTAATTAATGGGTTTATTCAGATTCATTTCAGGATCCGTGCATCGCTTGTTTTAGTTGTTAATCTGCCTCCAGCCATGTTTTTTTTTTTTTTTWTCATAATCATCCACCGAATGAGATTTTAGGACCTAAGCTGCTGCTGCAATATGGGCTGGTGTGCTTTTGTCAGGCTGCTGAGCCTCATGCAGACTGAGCTGACGGTGCAGATGGCAGGCACACGTATGAAACAATACCAGGCACTAACCGCCCGGCCCTGTGTCACTGTGTTTGACTCGCAGCCAAGAGTCCGGCCCCTGGAAAAGCTCTGAGCCCGGCCCTGGTCTGCAAAGTGTGCGGCGACACCAGCAGCGGGAAACACTACGGCATCTACGCCTGCAACGGCTGCAGCGGCTTCTTCAAACGCAGCGTGAGGAGGAGGCTCATTTACAGGCAAGAGAAAACTGTCCTGCTGGGACGACCATGTTTGGAGGTGCATTGTGGGAAATGATTGGGGAAAAAAAAAAAGAGCAAAAATACAGGTTTTTATCCAACAAATACTCTCGGCCATTAACTTCAGTTAGAAAATCCACAACTTTACATATTATAACAATCTCATTATAACAAACTAAGTGTTAAAG